ATGGGGCTTTGAGCTGGCTGATTTCTGCTCAGAATGTGCACCTTTACCCCAGACAGAATCAGAACCTGGGGGTGTCCACAAGACCCCCAGGTGATTCATATAGCTGGGTGCACATAAGCACCCCTGAAGATCTTGTGGAAACAGAGGTTCCGATTCACTGAGTGCGGTGGAGAGGCCCATGCCTTCAGGGGCCGAACCCAAGCAAACAGTTTGAAGCCCTGGAGTCCAGATTCACCTGAGCTGTGGAGGTGCACGGCTGTAAGGCAGACCTCAGGCCTTTGTAAATAATGGGAATCGGAGGCAAACTTCACCCAGGGCAAGTGCACAATCACAGCGAGGGATGAAGTGTGGCCATGAGGCCGGAGCTGCCGTAACTGAGCGGCGAGTCCCAACTAGAGCAGTGAACTCATGGTGAGGAGCGCCGTGGCCCTCCTGCCAGCCACGCCCACGTTTCAAGCTCAGACCAGGGCAACGTGATCAGGATTTTACTCTCGGAAAATCAACTGAGATGAAGAGGTGGCAGCGTGTCATTCCAGCAATGGCCACATTCTGAACTGAAGTCTCAGGAGACATCAAACCACCAGACCCAGGAGAGAAAATAAAGAATTTGACTGTCATCCTGAAATTCTGGACTCCTGCCTTCTATCATCGTTAATGTCAGGATATGATGAGAGACTACAGGTGAGAAGGTGGTCAACCAGTCGATTGACCGATCCAAATGAAATGAGGTGGATGCTTCCAGAGCCTGTGGAGCAGTGCCCGCTGCAAACATAGTGACCCACAGGAGAGTGCATGCCCAGAACCCCAGCACGTGTGCACGGCCCACGGGCACAGGGCCACGCCTCGCTTCCACGGCCTCAGCCACTTTCCATCGAGATGCATGGAAGGGAGTGTCAAACTATGCCAGCATTAAAATATGCAACTTGAACAAAGTGACCAGAACCCAAACTAGCCATGAAGTCAAGGACAAAGTAAATCCCAGACAAATGAACCCCTTGCAGATGGACCACGTTGGGGAAGCTGCCCTGCTGAGCCCAGTGGAATGAGGCTGAGGAGGGCCCGAGCTCTCACCAGGGGTCTTCAGTGGCAGCGTCCTGCAGGAGGAAAGTTTGCAGACTCCAAGACCAACGTGGAGTGAGAGAGTTTCGGTGTGACCCCTGGGTCCTGGCACAACATCCACCTAAATTCACACAAGTCAGGGGACACGGGGATGATTGGTGGCCGCGCATCCTAGGATCTTCCCAAGTTCACTTTGACAGACGTTTGTGATAAACAAGTTTAATAAATTGCTTATGGATAGTTATTAAATGATCAATTATTAAGTAAGTTTAGTAAATTATTCGAGTTTGCAACACTGAGTCTGGATTCCCGAGTGGCACAAACTGTTAACATGCTCAGTTGCTAATCAAAAGGTTGGAGGTTCAAGGCCATACACGGTGCCTCAGGTGAAAGGACAGACAATCTTCTTCCGGAAACTGCCACTGAAAACCCTGTGGGTGCGGTTCAACTCTGACCACACGGGGGCGCCAGGAGTTGGGGTCGACTCAACAGCAGCTGGTTGGTTATAATTAACTCCAGGGTTGGAAGCTTTTTAGACTTTTCTGTGAACAGAAACTATCCATATTCCTCATAACAAAACAAGATCTGGGCAGTTAATTAGCATAACATGGAGTATTTAGAAACAGTTGTCTTTAAAATATGAAGACCAGAGTTTATATGACTAATCCAATTAGATGAACGAGGGAGGATTTTCATTATGGACTTAATTGAACAACTGAAAGTCACGGAGCATCTGACTCGTAGATTATCCCCGCTAATTATTCACGTAAATACGGTAGGACATAATTTGCAATGGGGACCGATACTTAAATTCAACGGCGTTGACGTTCGCTGCTAATTACCAAGGTCTTCTCCATGAGGCTCACGCTGGTTATGATTTCCTGTTGGTGATAAAAGTAGCTAATCATGGTATAAAACTCCTGTTCCCGCGAAAGTAGTAAGAGTGAATCAGACTTGCAGGGCCCAGTGATAAGGAAGGGTTCATCTGAAGCCTTAGAAGCGCTATCTGCTTAATTCAAATGGGATCCTGGCTCGAATGCTACTCTCTTATAGGAAAAGTTTACAGCAGGGAGCAAAGATTTGATCTGTGCTGGCATGTGTGGTCAGTATATGTCACTGAGCATTGTCACTAATGATCTGGGGGAAGAGGGGCCCCTCGTGGTCCCCCAGGGCAGGAATGATGCTAAATGGGAAACAGGTCCGAAAACCAGTGAGTGTCAGCGTGACATTGGGCCCAGAGGCAGAGAAGCACCTGAAAGTCAAGCAAGAGACAGCTTCACAAAATACGGAGGCAGACGGGTAGCTCTGAGGGCTGACGATCAGAGGCAACACAGTGCAGTCTGTGGTTTTTAAACGGACCGATAAGAGCAATCACCGGCTTATTCAGAGCCAGGGCTGTGCTGTGGAAGACACTCAATGACAACTGTGCCGCCATGAGCAATCTTTCAAATGCCATTTGGCAAGTGTGCAAAGTGTCCATAATCAGAATGTTCTTAGAAAAACAAATAGACAAACGGCATTGGGCTTTCCTTAATAGTGACATGCACACACTGATTGGGCCTGCGGCCAGCTGCCCATCTGTCCGCCCATAGCCCCGTGAGCACTCGGCCCACTGCTGAAAGGTGGGGGAAGAGGGGAGAGGGAGACAGCCCCACTGCTGAGTCTCCTGGGAGGTCAGCACCCACCGTGAGCTTCTGCAGGCTGTGCACTCTCTCTCCGACCTGGAGAGATCCCCACTCCTCAGGGCTCCCCAACAATCTGCCCACCCTAGTTCTCTTCCACATAGCACATTGGGAAGGAGGCATGCGAAATAGCCACATGGGAAACAGACATTGCAGGTGGCCCTGGCAGCTGCAGATGGTTCAGTGCTGGACCACGCAGGTTCTTGTCTCCCCAGAGGCACCTCTGAAGAAAGGCTGGCTATCTGCCTCCCACAGAACAGCCATGGAAACGCTGTGGAGCACAGTCCGACCCTGACACCAGTCAGGGAGCCCTGAGGAGGAGTCGACTCCACAGGTGCTGGTTTGGACCCTCACCCTCGGTGTCAGCTCAGGGCTAACAGCCACCCGGGGCCCCATACAGACCTTGTCCTCCTTGGCTCCCTGCCGGCTCTTCCTCTCCGCAGGCAGCCTCGGGGTGCAGGTGCCGGGGGCTCGGCTGCACTCTCTGCTTTTATCTGTTGGACCGAAGCAGTCGTCATTAGCATTCGAGTTGTCACAGCAAGCTGAGAAAACTCAACAATCCAAGACAAGACAGCCTTGAGAACTCAACGTGGTGGCCAAGTGCAGCCCCTGTGTGAACACCGTGCTTTCACGGTCTCTGTTGTGGCCAAATGCTACCTCAAGGATGGCCCTGGCCTGCTCCCAGCCTGGAGGGGTATTTGTCCGTTCACTGTCAGGTGCGATGAGAGCTGTAGATCACTGCTCTCCCAGATACAAACCAAACCCCAAATCCCCCAACTGCACCCCACACGAGTTGATGAGTCCATTCATGAAGGAAAATCCTGGTGCACCAAGACAGCTCCGACTTAGGCCAGTGCCCCTGACACACACACACAGGTTCTACTCCTGGACGAGGGGCACACACGATGCTGTCCTGATCCCCCATCTGCCCAGTGGACATTGGGACCCCGGTGAGGCTCTGGCAGTCTGCCGAGAAGCCCTCAGCTCAGCCTGTGGGAAGCCACACCATCCATGAGCCTCTGGGCCTGCTGGTCTCCATGGGCACTCAGGTGCCACCACAAAGGAGGTGTCACCTTCTTTCACACGAGGCCAGGCTGACCACAGGGCTCCTGGCCAGCTGTCACCACTGCCACCCAGAGACATGCCTGGGATATGGCAATGGTACTGTCACCTGTTGCCACAGCCAGAGCAGCCCAGCAGATGGAGTCATGGGCTGGGCTGAGCCACCAAGCTGAGGTGGGAAACTGCATTCTCCCTGAAGCCAGTGAGATACTGCCACAGTCAGAGCCAGGGCATCCTACCCAGCTTTCCAGAACCCTGTAGCCATCACTCCCCAAGACCATTCCTTGAGGTGTATTAAGTGGCAAGGAGCATTCTCCCTGAAGCCAGTGAGATACTGCCACAGTCAGAGCCAGGGCGTCCTACCCAGCTTTCCAGAACCCTGTAGCCATCACTCCCCAAGACCATTCCTTGAGGTGTATTAAGTGGCAAGGAGCCTGCTCTCAGGGACCTCCATCCTGGCTCCATGGCTGGCAATGGTGCCCCTGCCCCCACTCTATCCTCATCCATAAAACGGAACCAGCATGGTTCACACTGACATCATGGAGGAGCTGAGAGACAGAGAGTTTAGGAAAATGGTCACTGGTCGGTCATCTTGGAACAGGCTGAGCTTCCCCCAGAACTATACATACACCTCCGTCCCACCACACTGGACCTGTGCATGTGACCGTACCTGGAAGCAGAGTCTTT